GAAAAGCTTGTATTGTATGTGGATGGCTGGGGATGCAAAGGTGAGCTGTATAAAACTTCATGTTCACTATGTTTACACTCTCGGAGGGAAGGCTAACAGCAAGCAGTAGAGAAGAAATGGCTAAATTTAGATGATGCTGGGGGCTACAGAAGCAATCAAACAGGCCACTTGAGTAGAGAGGAAGCAGACAGGCCTCTTGATCTAATGTTATCTGCCATGGCAGCCTACCTGTGTCTCTGGGGAATTTAAAATGTGGCTGGCAAATTGAGATGCTAACAATACAAAAGTACACACTGGATTTCAAAGACTTAGTACCCAAAAAGAATGTAAACTAACCCCATCAAAAGTTTTTGTTTTGTTTTCTTGAAGGAGGGAAGGTTTTATTTTGGCTCAAAGTGTGAGCATACAGTCCATCGTGGTGGGGAAGTCTTGGTGGCAGGAGTATGAGGCAGCTGGTCATGTTGCATCCACGTTTTGCAGCAGAGTGAGATAAACACTGGTACTCAGCTTGTGTTCTCCTTTTAAAAAAAAATCCTAACAATTTATTGGGCTTGCTAACAGACAATAGGGTGGGGGTTTATTTGCATAAGAGTAGATACCCCTCTCCCCCATTTACAGCTGCACTGGGAAGTCCACACTCAAATATGGATCCTGTGACTTCGATACAGCTGCACAAAATGGCAAGAGAGGTGCCTCGTGGCGTTCTTGGCTTATATATCTTTAGCCCCTCCCCCACATCCAACTAAGGTTGACTTATTGGGTGAGAGGGGTAACTGACTCCCCCATCGACTCATTGACAAGCATGGGAAGGGGGTGTGACTATAGTTTGATGGCATAGTGATCAGAGGACACTTCCAATTAATGCTCCACCCCTTCCTCCGGCTCGTACATTCTTTCTGCCAACCTCTTCTGCAAAAGTCCCTGAGCCTTGGAGGGGGTGATAGGTGTGGGATGATCTTCCACCCATTGTGGAAAGGGACTGAACTTTTGGGTCTCTGCAGCATCTGTTTTCCATGGGCTATCAGCCCATTCCAGTGGGATTCCAACTACTATAAAAATACAAACAGCAAGAAGCAAGAACATCTAAACATTGGCTGCTATAATAACCTAATGGCGTAAACACAAATGCTTGGACAGTACTTTAGCAGATGCATCACATCCATCTAACAAAACAATTGCAGTGGCTTCCCCACTGGGGCCTATATTCTCCCCTGCCACAGGGAGGTGACCTGGTCTACAGCACCAGATGTGTGTTCCATCCCCAGCAGCAGGCATTATAGCCAATCAAAAATTTGCTGGTTGTACATACACTAGACATGCCACTATTGCACTAGCTGGAACATCTCATTTGGCAAATCAATAGTGCAGCACTCAGAGTCAGTTGTTGAGCGAATTATAGGGGATAGTCTTCCCCCAGCCATCTGCATGTCACCTTCTGGCACTATGAAAGCCACCCATCCAGTGTCAGGGAGTTTCCAGCTTGGTCCACGCTTGATTTCTTCTGCTCACATCATTCAGTGTCTTCAGCAATACTGTTCTTCCAGTGTGCAACCAACATTATGAGCAATGGCCTTTATTGTTGGGGGACTTCTAGGGCCCCTCTGACCAACAGCTCATGGGAGGGGCAACCCACCTCTGGCATTGGGATTTTCATTTAATAACCATATGGAAGGGCTTTCTTCCATCCCATAGGGTTCCTTCTGTACTTAAGGCTTTTTTTTTTTTAATCTTGTATTAGGAGAAAAAAAGTCCCCTTTATTCCCATAGCTCTTTGTATAGTCCTCCTTCCCACTTTCCCCTTTAACTACCTTCTTTTTGCACATGTCTACCTTAGTAACACCATAAAAAGTTTATACCGAATTCCAAGATGAACAAAAACCCAGCATGAATGGGGCAGGCAGGCAAAAAGCCCTAGCCCCAGCTTAGGACCTATTGGGAGTTGAGAACTGCTAGAAGGGGGAGACTCAGTTTTTTTAAGTGTGACTGGGGGCAGGTTGATCAGGCTTCAGAGGATGAACTCACACCCAAGAGCATTTGAGGACACACATTAGATTCCATAGACCTTTTTAAAAAATAGTAGAGGAGCTGGGCATGGTGGTGCACGCCTTTGATCCCAGCAGTTCGGAGGCAGAAGCAGGCAGATCTCTGTGAGTTTGAGGCCAGCCTGGTGTACATAGGGAGTTCCAGGCCAGCTGAAGCTACAGGGAGACCCTGTCTCGAAAAGACCAGAAGAAAAGTGACAGGGGATTAGGGTGATGAGAGAGATCTGAGAGGAGATGGAGGAGGGGGTCTGAATATGATCAAAATATATTGTATGAAATTTTCAAAGAATCAATAAAATACTATTATAAAAAGTTTTATACTGGTTATATATGGAAATGATATTTGGACATATTAGGTTAAGTAAAAATACCAGTAAAACTAATTTTATCTGCTTCCTTTTTAAATATGGTTACCAGAAAATTAAAAGTACATAGTGGTTCACATTTGTGATCAGATAACTTTTGAATGGGGCTGACTTACATTGACCAAAGAAAACATCTCAAAAGAGGGTACATTTGGGCTGAGGCCTGAGTGGTATGGGCACCAGGAATTTTTCAGGCTAGTTAGCTGGCCCCTTCTACGCAGAGAAGAGAGTATCCGTTTTGTTCATGTCATTGAAACTGAGTATTGATGCGATGATGTGGGTACAGCCACAGGAAAGTGCACCTGTTACTGAAACATTGGTCAGTCTTTACCAGTCTAATATGGAGGGCTGATGTCTTGAAAGGATTTCTTAAACTGAAGGCACAATTAGAGATTGACCAAGAAACAGAAAAGCCCAAATAACTGTCAAGTTATTTAGACATCTGTTTTCATCCAGTATTTCTTTCAGTACTAGATATATAATAAAAACACCTAGAGAACTTAAAAAAATTCTGATGTACTAGCATAACCCATAAAGAAGAGAAAGAAAATTTTAGAATTTATTTAAGTGTATGAATGTTTTGTTTACATGTGTGTAAGTGCACCATGTGCCTGCAATGCCCATGGAGTTCAGAAGGGGACATCAGATACTCTTGAATCTGGAGTTGCAGACTATTGTTAGCTGCCATGTCGGTACTGGGAACAGAAGAACCCAGATCCTCTGCAAGAGCAGCCAGCACACTTAACCACTGGACCCTCTCCCAAAACCTAGAAAATTTATATATCACTTTGACCTAGAAATCCCACTTTCAGGATTCAGTCTCAAAGATAAAATAGTAAATTCACAGTGGGGAGTAGTGTGTGGCTATTTGTTGTGGCACTATTTTCCAAAGCACAAGGCTGCCAACAACCTGGATACCCAGAGAAGAATTCTCCCAAGACTGTTCTCCTGTAGGCTTCTCCCTCAGAAAAGGAGTGGACCTTCTTTAAATCTCCCAGGAAACAAATGTGACTGTGCGCTTAAGACAACACCCCTCCCCTTGATGGAGCAGAGGCTGGAGTGTGGCTTCCTTAGTCTTGAGCAGTGACAGGGACAATCCTACCAGCAGCCTGACAGGACTTGGAGCTCAGCCCAGTGATCACTGTAAAAGGAGCAAGTCATTCTCCCACCCTGGAAATTGATATGGCAAAATAGTGTATGAAATGAAGAGTTGCTGCCCTTCAACACTGAGCCATCTAGTCCTGTCCCATCCCTCCATTTTATAGCTTGAACATTCCCACTGCTTGTGGACGAGGAAGTCTGGTGTCCAATGCCACTTACAATGGCAGACTAATCTTATGCCTATGGATTTCCTAACTAATTCTGTGCTAACAGGCCTGATAATGCCCATTAGCCCATGCTTACAAACTGACTAGTGCAATGAGATGTGCTCTGGACAGAAGCCACTATCCCTGTCTGGAAGGTAATCAACAGATTAGGCTGGTCAAAGATAAGACAAGTATCGGAGAGGTAGCACTGCCAGCAGTAAGGACAGCCACTTACTAACTGTCCCAAGAACCCCAGGCACCTTCAGCATACTAAGCAAGTGCTCTACCATTGAGTGAAGCCCCGGTCCCAGGACAGCACTCTTGAAATTTATATGGTGTTTTAATTTACTTCTCTGTTGCTGTAATAAAGCTCTGACCAAAAGCAACTTGTGGAAATGGAGAGATGGCTCAGTAGCTAAGAGCACTGTCTGCTATTGTACTGAACTCAGGTTCAGTTCCCAGCATCCACATGGTGGCTAACAACTATGTGTAACTCTGGCTCCAGAGCATTCAATGCCCTCTTTGGGTCTCTGCAGGTATTACACACACCACGTCCTTAACACAGATGCAGGCAAAACACTCATACACATAAAATAAAAAGAAATAAATTTAAAAAGTTTTTTTAAAAAAGCAACTTGGGTAGGAAAGGGATTATTTGACTAATAGGTTACAGTCCAGCATCCAGGGATGACAAGACAAGAACCTGGAGGCCCTGTTCACCGGCTTGCTGCCTCTGGCTTGCTCAGCAACCTTTCTACTGCAGCCCAGGCCCACCTTCCCAGGGTCGGCACTGCTGGACTCTCCTGCATCGATCAGCAATCGGGGGAAATGCACACCCCACACACATAGCTGCAGGCCAGTCGGATGGAAGTACTTCCTCAACTGAACGTCCCTCTTCTCAGGTGTCTCTAGTTGAAAAAAACTGGCCAGCAAGTATGGCTTGGAAGAATGAAGAAAACGTACGCTCTCCAAATGAAGGCTGGTTTGAACAAAGCAGAATCCATAGCAAGCCTGGATTTCCTCAAACTCTGCTGCTCAAAGGGGAAATTCTGATTTCAGGTCCACTCCACTCACCTTCCAGACAGGCTGGATAAATGGTAATAGGTCTCTTCAGGTAGAGACAACCTCAGACATAAGTTTGCTAGGTAGAAAGAGATTTTGAAATTATTAGGTCACTCTCTTCTTGTGGTTGAAAGCATGAGGATCATAAATGAAACAGAATTCCTTCTTAACTAGACAATAAATCTTCCATTTCTTCAGGAATAGACTGAAGAGCAAGAATCGCAATGCCAGGCTTCAGCCCCAGGAAGGGCTGCCGAGAGGTAGCTACTTCTTCACTGTGTACTTTGAACTCTACCGAGGGCTTCTTCTCCTGCCAGGGAGCATCCCAGAGAGGACAGCTGGACACAGGTAACTGAGCCCCTGACAGGAACCTCTGGAGCCAGGGCTCTGTCTCCTGAGATGTTTATCATGGCTGCCTGCTAGATATCCCGGTCATCTCGGTCTCAACCATTTCAGTCTCAACCCATCTTTTTCTCCATCAAATCTGTACTCCTATGTTCTCTAGCACTAACACATGTACACTCCATCCACATCTAGGAGTCAACAAATTCGCCTCTTTCTCGGGAAGGTCGTCCAGTCAATTGTCAGGCCCTGTGTTGTTTGGAGTTTTTGATAAAGGGTCTTAATCCAGACTGCCCTCAAGCTCTCCATCTTCTTACTGTTGCCTCCCAAGTGCGAAGCTTATGGCATGCACAGACTGATGGTTTTATTGTCTATATAGTCCCCAATACAATGTCTTTCTGTACCTTAGTTCAAGTTACTATAGCAGGTATCTCCATCAACCCAGCATCTACATTATCAGAATAATCAGTCTAAAAGAGTAGTATGTCCATGTTGCTGGACATGTTAGGATGGTCTTCTGGAATGAACTGATGAGTAGCCTCCACTTCCTAGATTAAATCCAAACTCCTTAACTTGAGATGCAAGGTCCTTTACAATCTGACCTGTGCCTACTTACAGTCTCATCTCTCAGCACCCCAGTAGCACGTTAAGTACCAGCAATTAAAAAAAATATTTATCAGGCTGCACACTCACCATGTTGTTACTTGTTCCTGAACTTTCACCAGGATTCTTCCTTAACCTAGAATGCCATTTTTTTTGTCTCTTTTTCTTTTTGTCTGATGCTGCTGAGAATGAGACGGAGGGCCTCACATATGCTAGACAAGTGCTCTAGCCCTCCCTCCCTCCCTCTCGCCCTGACCACTCTCCTTCCCTCCCTTCCTCTGTTCCATTTCTTTTCTTCTTCATTTTTATTTAGAAGTACATTGTGTGTTTCTGATATACTTGTTAGTGTGGCTGTGTGTACATGTATGTAAGGGGTGTATATACATGTACCTATGGAGGCCAGAGGTTGACATTGGGTGTATTTCTTCAATCACTCTCCACCTTTTAAATTTTTTATTTTAATGTTTTCTTGTTTTAATTTTAGGTGTATGAGTGTATTGCCTACATGTATGTGAATTGAACCTGTGTCATGCAGTGCCCATGAAAGTCAGAAGAGGGCATCGGATCCCCTAGAACTGGAGTTACAGATGGTTGTTAGCAGCCACTTGGGTGCTGGGAATTGAACCCGGGTCCTCTGCAAGAGCAGCCAGTGCTCTTAACTGCTGAGCCATCTCTCCAGCCCTACCTTTTTTATTTTTTGAGACAGCCTTTCACTGAACTTGAAGCTCACTGATTCAGCTAGACTGGCTACCCAATGATTTTCAGAGATTAACCTGCCTCCACCCCCACCCTGGAGTTGCAGGGGCATGTCACCAACCTTGGCTTTTTGCATGAGTTCTGGAGATTCAAACTTGGGTCCTCATGCTTGCATGCAGGCAACTTTCCAACTAAGCCACCTCCCCTCCCCCCATAAGTACATTTTACAAGCATCTGAGTAAACTGGCAATGATGAAGATTTGTAGCTATAGCCGTCATTTACATACCCAGTGCGGTAAGTTACAGTTAATATGCGCTAATACAAAAGCACTGTCCCCTTCCCTAATTTATAGCAGAATATTTTCTTCCTAAATCATCACATATATTTTCAGACACGTTATAGGAATTAGATGACTTGAAAGACATAAAGAAAATAATCATAAATAAGTCATTTCAGAAAATAATACTGAGGTTAAAGCACGTCTGACTTGGGCCCACAAGGTGGCTCAGTGGGCAAAGGCGCTTGCTGCAAAGCCTGAGGACCTGTGTTTGATTCCCAGGTCCCACAAGGCAGAAGGAGAGACCCCAACTCTTACAGCTGTCTTCTGTCCCTCACGATGTCTCTTTATTCCCCTGTTCTTTCTTTGTCATTTGTCTGTTGCTAGACTTCCTCAAACCTGGTGTGCAGGGTCTGTGATTCAGCTCCTGAGACCTGGGACTCTTGGGTTATCCGATTGCCTCTGTGTATGTGTTCATGTAAGGGTGGGTGACCTATGTATGCAGATATTGGACACATTTGTGTATATGGACACCAGAGGATAACCTAGAGTACCACAAGCAAGCCACCCATGATAGCTGGCCACCATGCCCCAGGACCCACTTATCTCTGCATTCCTGGAATTACAGCATGTGCCACCACACCCAGACTTTTAATGTGTTTTGGGACTCAAAACCAGGTCCCCCTACTTACGAGGCAAACACTTTGCCAATTGAGCTATCTTCCCAGCCCTGACTGTTTCTTTACCTCCTTTCATTCTACCTTTATCCACACCTGCTTCGTGCACACTCCTTCACTTGTCCCTATAGTTTCCCCCTTTCAATTTACTTTTCCCCTCTCAGCCCAACACTAATCACTAGTCTTATTCTAATTTCTAGAGCAGTGCTTGAGTATTCCTGAGTGTTCATGGGAGCCTGCCCTTTCCCTTGATAGTGTTCTTACAGAATTTCTACTTTCACAGGAGGACTGGGGATCGAGCCTAGTACCCTGACAACAGGTAGCAAGAAAAGCAGCAGCCCCACCTTGCACCAAAAAAGTTCCTTTTGAGCATTATAAACACTTCCTCTGAAAGACTGGGGATAATTTAGAAAATCTAACCAGTAACCTAATTCCAGATGTGCAAGTCTCATTGTGAACACAGGAAATATGGTAAAACTCAAGAAACAGGGTCCTCCAAAAAGATCACTAATTCCACAATCTAGTGACTGAATTTGATGAAATCCCAAATAATTCAAAAGAATGATTTTAAGTATGTTGAAAGATAACAAAGAAGCCACAAAAACTCCTGAATGAATTCCAAGAGAACACAAATAGCTGAATGAAATAAGGAAGCCAAGTCAGGACAGGATGTGAAAGTAATATTCAGTAAGGAGGAGAATACTGAGGGGAAAATGCTAGAAATGCAGCAAAATGTTTGAAAAAGACCGAAATCTCCTCATGGTAAAACCCCTGCAAAGGCTAGCAACAGAAGAAAAATATCTCAACATAACAAAGGGTACATACAATGAACATGGCCAGCATCATACTCAAAGGGAGAAAATTAAAACATTTCCACTAAAATCAGGAGTAAGACAAGGGCATTGACCCTCCATTCTCCTTCAATAGATGCTTGAAGGGCAAGAGCAGTAAGACAAGAGGTGGACATAAAGATTCAGAAGGAAAGGAAGCTATCAAATCATGCCTGTTTGCAGACGGCATGATTCTGTGCTTAAGAGGCCAGAAAGATTCCACCAGGAAACTTAGAGCTGCTTGAACACTGTCGGCAAAGTGGCAGGGTACAAAATTAACCTAGAAAATGCAATAGCCTTTCTATGTGCCAATAACAAATGTGTTGAGAAATAAATCAGAGAAATAATCCCATTCACAATTGCCTAAACCAAACAAACCAAAATTCTTGAAATAAGCCTAACCAGGGAAGCAAAAGACTTCTGCAATGAAAACTTTAAGACACTGAACGAAGAAACAGAAGATACTAGAAAAAGGAAAGACCTTCCACGTTCATGGAGTGATAGATTTAATATTGTGAAAATGTCTATCCAACCAAAAGCAATCTACAAATTCAATGAAATCCATATCAAAATTCTAATGTCATTCTTTGCAAAAATAGAAAAAAATCTTAAAATTCATATGGAAAAACAAAGCAATCTTGAGCAAAAAGAATAACGCTGGATTGGCCAGGCATGCTTTTAACCCCAGCTCTCAGGAAGCAGAAACAGGTAGATCTCTGTGAGTTCAAGTCCAGCCTAGTCTACATAGGGAGTTCTGGGTCAACTAGGGTTACATAGTGAGCGTCTGTCTCAGTAATAATAATAAAAGTAATAATATAATAATAATGCTGGAGATTATCACAATATCTGATTTTAAGTTATATTACAGAACCATAGTAGCAAAAACAGCACCGTATTGTCACAAAACAGACACAAGCAAGCAATCTAATCAATAAATAGGCTAATGAAATGAACAGACAGTTCTCAAAAGATGAAACACAAATAACCGATAAACACAGGAAAAAATGTTCATCCTCACTGGCCTTCAGAGAATGCAAATTCAAGCTTCTTTGAAATTCCCTTTCACGGGTCAGAATGGCAGTTATTAAGATAACAACAAATGGGCTGGAGAGATGCTCAGTGGTTAAGAGCACCAGCTGCTCTTGCAGAAGACCTGGGTTTAGTTCCTAGCACCCACATGGCAGCTAGCAACTGTCTGTAACTCCAGTTCTGGGGATCTGATGCCCTCTTTTGTCCTCCACAGGCATTGCATGCACATGGTGCACTTGCATGCATGTAAGCAAAACACTCATACACATAATTTTTTTTAATTGTAAAAAGAAAACAAATGCTAGTAAGGATGTGGACAGAAGGGGACACTTACTGCCGTTTAAACTAGTGTAGCCACTGTGGAAATTAGTATGGATGTTCCTCAAAAAATTGAAAATAGAACTGCCATATGATCCAGCTACACAACTCCTGGACACCAAGGCATCATATCAAAGAGATGTCTGAACATCAATGTTTACTGAAACACTAGTCACAATAGCTAAGTTATGGAACCAACCTAGGTTTCCAACAAAACAGAAATGGATAAAGAAAATGCATCACACACACACACACACACACACACACACACACACACACACACACCCCACATGGATGACACACCCCACGGAAGTTTGTTCAGTCACAAAGAATGAAGCTATGTCACATGCAAGAAAATGGATACAACCAAAGACAGTAAGCAAATTAAGCCAGTCTCAGAAATATAAAAACCTGTGTTTTCTCTCATGTGTTTCCTGTGTTCTATAAATATATAAAATCATGTAGATATAAATGACATGAAAGCAGATGAGGATCAGTCCAGAGGGACAAAAGGGATGAACAAGGGAGGCAGAAAGGGAAGGGCAGAGATGGACGTAGAGGAGCATGTTCAACTT